TCGATTAGGACCATTTTCAAGAGCCATCTTATTTAGGTGGATATGTGTATCATATTGATAACTTCTCTCTTTATTGTCTTGTCCTTTTTTGTATCTAGTGGCATCCCCTTGGTGCATTTTATACATTAATTCCTTATCTTTTTTCTCCCCAAAAAGTAACAAACATTTACTAAAAGAAAAAAGTCTAACTATTAAATTATTTTTGTAAAACACAAGGGTTAAAATAAAAGGTCAGAACACGTTCACAATAAAAGCATGTAGGTGGCTCAAATATAGTAACAAGACTAGTTGGCTTAAGTGAATCACTGAGACTATCATGATATTCACAGATGTATGACTGTGAGGGAGGAAGAAAGACCACAATTTACAATTACAAATACAAATATATGAATTCAAAATTTGAAGCGTTGACAAGAAACTTAAAGGAGAAGGTGCCCTAAGAGAGTCGTGCGTGTTAGGTATATTGGGTAAATTAATGACCCAGTCATGTCTTCTTTTAGCCTGGAAAGACTAGATCTGCTGAATTCACAAAAAGAACAGCTGGTCATCTGATGCAACCAACCAAGCCTAGTGCCACTTGTCTGGACCAAGCCATGCAGCAGCTCTTGTCCTTAGCCTGCAAATCCATTTTTTTTCTCAATTTAATGTTTACTCTTTTTATTTTTTATTTTCGTTTAAAATAAAAAGTATTATATGATTCATTCACAAGCACCAAGGAGGTGCCAATCTATGTACAAAAAAATTTATGTTTATTTTTTTATTAAATTGATAAGTGTTCAAAAAATTCGATTTTGAAGTAAAGAAACATATGTTTCTTCTACTACACTAAAGTTACAGTTTAAACAATTTCTTAATTTCTTATAATTGGAAATAAATTTTTAAGCAATGTATTAATTATATGATAGCTAAAACATATTAGCTCAAATATATTTGGCCATTTCTCTATATATCTTTTCTAATCCAAACGATATTTATGACTAGGACATTGACTTACCCCAGCCTTCCCTACTCAACTATTCTATGCGCAACAGCGAACATAGAGGAAAATGGCATAATAGCACTAAATTTGAGGAAGAACTACAGGCATTAAAAGACTGCATGCATAACTTTCATTTTAAGAGTTAACAGCGTGGTATATCTTTGTTTCTATAGACAAACATCAAATTTTCATACAGACTAATAGATAATCCATTCGTGGAGCATTCTAGTCTTGCAATATAAACACAGAGGTTAGTCATGCAGTAGCAGAAACACATCAACCAAACTAATTTTAAAGCCAGTTAAAAGCCCATTGCGGCATGCACCTATTACAACAACTGGCCAGAAATTCCTGTTCTGGCAGTTTTTTCTTTTTTTAGAGGATTCTGTTTTCAGTCTCTTGGCACTACATAAATACCTAACAACACAAGATGCAAGTTAAAGCGATTGAGCAAGTGCTAAATTTCTCATTTGTAGGAGTAAACTACCCACTTAAGAAATCAAAGTAATCAGAACCAACTAAAAGGAGTTTTTCATTTTCTTTTTTTTTTTTTGGAGAAAAAAAATATATAGGCAAATTAAATTTTATTTCTGATTAAAAAAAAAATTTGTTACACATACTAGAATTCCCACTGGTCATAAAGTAGAATGATCACAAAAAATCTCAAGAGAAACAAATTTTACCTCCCCTCTGTCAAATAACCGATATTCATCATCATTGGCAGAAGCAAATACAAGAGCATCCTCTTCATCATCTTCCAAACCTCCTAACTCCACCTCTCCCACAACATTTTGACCAAAAAACTCGTATTGTGATGCATCAAAAAGAGTATTGCCTGCAATATGATCCATCAATCGACAAAATCATCATGAGACACAGGCAGAAGGTAGTTTGAATGGTCAATTATACAATTTTAGGAGGTGATCCAGAAAAATTAACACCTAACTCGAAACTACAACGCATGCTGAACAGAAGATAAAAATCACGCCAAACACTTACATACTAGCAACTACTACGAATCAAAATTAATCATTTGAATCAAATCCAAGATTTCCAATAAGAACAAGTAAAGGCTCCAAAGGCTACTAGGAAATGACTAATGACAACGAACCATTAAGATGCAACCCCAATTAAAATCACATAAGCCCTAACGTTTTAGTCGCTCATGAATTCGTTCACGAAGAATAAACAAAGGAAGGATAACAAAATAAAGATCCAATCTCATGTTATCCACAGCTTTTGATTGCAGAATAGATTTAAAAAGAGAAAACTCAATGAGTTAGAACCAACTACCAAACAGATGTAGATAGACAGAATTTTCTTAAAACTTGCATTTCTCAGCACCCAAAGAAGGTACAAAATACGATCAAGAAACAACTCCACAACTGAAATGAAAGAAACATAACATAAATTCGAATTTTAAAGAAACAGAGAGCTGAAGGAGCTGACCTGAAGAACTCTCAGTGAAGTTGCAGAAATCTTTGCCATCGGATCTCTCCATATCAACGAAGCACCGAGCTGAAAAACACGAAATCCGTACAAGTCAACGACAGGAGAACATGTACAGAACGCAAACTACGCCGTTTCCTTTATGAAGTAAAACCCTAGGGCTTTCTTAGGGCTATCTTAAGAAGGAGAAAACCAAACCGGGATTAAAGGCGGTAGTGAAGTCAGAATTACGATCGGAAAAGTGAAAGAGCAGTGTTCTTGGGGGATTATTAGGGTTTTGATTTGGTGAAGCAGAGGGAGGAAGGTGGAAGGAAGTAATTCCTCTCTCTATGAAAGAGAAAGAGGAGCATTAACCAACTTTTTTTTTTTTTCCGCTGTGCCCACCAGACAAAAATACGCACTCTGAGGGGAAAAAAATCACCCGAATACTTTTATATTGAAATGCTGAATTTATGAAAATCGATAAATGATTTATAACAATTTTGAAAAAATTTTACTAGATTCGTTCACGCATAATGCGTGATATATATATATATATATATATATTCGTGTATGTATATTTAAATAAATAATTAAAAAAATTTCAGTTAAAAGTGAAAAGGAAATATATTTGAACTTCAACCACAAGGTCTCTTTCTCATGTAAGTGATGCAATTTTTGAACCCCATTTTTAACTGTAGAAAATTTCCCTTTGAATTTATTTTTAATACTATCTTTATGTTTATTAATATTTAAGAAATAAAAGTTTCAAAATAATTTTTTTTTAAAAAAAAAAAAAACGAAGTAAAATCATAATAACTCTGAAAATTATATTAGAAAAATTATCAATACCACTTTAAATTATTTTTTATTTTTATTTTTAAAAGTTTTTCATTTGAGCGAATGAAAAACTAAAACCTCTATTTAGTTTAATTGTTTATAAAATTTTAAATAGTGGATTTACAAATTAAGATAATTTTAAAATATTTAAACCAATTTGTATGAAAGAAAGATGGTTTACAAAAAGTCAGTTTTAACATTTATTGGACAGCTGATGCGACACACCGCACAACCAAAGCAATAAATATTCAACTATATATTTGCCTCTTAAAATATCATCATATTTTTTTATAACTTCTTCCCGACGAAAACCATTTGGTCTTTTATTTGCTAATATATAATTAGAAGTTAAATTGAAATCCAAGAATCAACAAATTTCCAAATTCTCTCTCCCGATACATAAAAACTTGGATGTTGGAATTCCAATAGGAATTTTTAAAAATGTCACCTTTGAATATTTTTTTAAAAAATAAAATTATATATATTTTATAATTAGATGATATATATATATATATATTTCGATAAAATATTTATTCCTATAGCAGAAGATAGATTACGTCTAAATTTTACTTATCATATTTTATTGTGAAATACATAATTTTTTATATAAAAA